CACTAACGTGAAGTCGTATATTGGCAAAAAGACTTCATTGTTTCTGATGAATGTGCGCCACCATTGTCACAAGTTCCACCATTTAAGATAATGATTCATATTTTACACAAATCATTAAGAGAAGTGGATAGCTCATAATTTACGAATTATTGTGAATCACTTATTACTTTTTTCTTATATTATATCCAGGGCTGGCTCGGGCGTAGGCCAGTTGCCTAATTATATAAGTTATGTTATACTAATTATTTCTTAATTTATTAAAATTTAATTAATATAAACATTTAATACTCACCTCAAAAATTTATATTTGGTTGTGTATATTTTTTGTGTAAACCTTAGGGATGGAAAATGGGTGGGTTGGGTCGCGTTTGGGTGGATTGAAAATGGGCTGGTCAAATGGGTCAAGACTCATATTCAACTCGTTCAGAACGTTTTGAAAATGGACAGGGTCAACCCATTATGACCCGTGGACCCATTAATTATTATTTTTAAATTTTTAAATTTTAAATTTTTTTTAATTTTTTTTTAAAAAATTAATTATATTTTAATTTTTTTATTTATTTTTAAATTTTTTAAATTTATTTTTTTATTTTTTAAATTTTTTTATTATTGAATTTTAAATTTTTTTAATTATTTTTTATTTTTAAATTATTTTTTTCTGAAGGTTTAAAATTTTTTTATTATTTTTTATTTTAAAATTTGTTTTTAATTATTTTTAATTTTTTAAAAAAATTTAAATTATTTTTTAATTATTTTTTTTTTTTTAGGAGATAAACTTAGAGAGGGGATTAATGAAAGACAAATTTAGAGAGAGAAGATTGTGAGTGAGAGAATTTAGAAAGAGAAATGAGTTGAGTGTAATGTAGAATAGATGTGTGTTGTGTGTTTATTATGTGATGGCTGAAATATGGATTGAATATGGTTAACCCATCTTGACCCTCAAATTAAGTGGTTAAAAATTATCCAACCCATCTTGACTCTCAAATTAAATATGGTTCACCCATAACCATTAAAAAGGGGGCGAATATGGGCTGGTTGATGGTTTCTGACCCATTTTGCCACCCCTAAGAATCTGATGTGTCATAGTAGATTTATACAAATATTTTGAACTACTCAGCTTTAGCTCCCGCCATTATTTTATACATTTTGTGTAAAAATGTATCTATCACATAAGTTGTACAAATCGACTTAATATAGGATTGATTCATTAATGGAATGAGAAAGATGGAGGAGAAAGGAAATATGTTAAAGTAACTGTGTAAAAATGTTGTATAAAATACACAACAATTTTGCATATTTGTGTATCTTAATATAGGATTGATTCGTTAATGGAATGAGAAAGATGGAGGAAAAAGGAAATATGTTGATATAGCTGTGTAAAAATGTTACATAAAATACACAAAAATGTTGTATAAAATACACAATAATTTTACATATTTGTGTATCTTAACATACAACTAGAGATAAAAAAAATAAAAAATAAAAATAAAAAATAAAAAAAATGCACATTATAAGTGACAGTGTATATTTTACACAAAAATAGTGTTTTAACATACTGCTGGAAATACCCTAAAAGATAATACTTGGGTCCTCCCCTCGGATGATAAAGTTCTTCCTCCTCGCTGATGTGGCCCAATACAATTTAGATACACGGTTAAAATTTTAATTTTTTTTAAAATAATCATTACCCATTTTTTTAGAGGTTAAACCGAATCCCAAAGTTTTTTTTTTTTTCCTTTCCAAAAGAATACGATTGTTTCTATACCCAAATTAAAAAATTACTAAATTTATTTAAAGAATGTACTGTATCAGGTTTTGAATAGGGAAGGAATAGGAGCTTAAAATATTATATGAAAATTTGATGCTAATCTATATTTGAATAGAGTTTTTCTTGTAAATTTTTTAGAGTAATGATATTCTGTCCAATCAAATTGGCCTACTCCTAATCCGAATTTAACTTGTAACTGCCACGTAATTACCTAAATTGTTTATATTTTATTTGCGCGAAAGATACCAAAAATAAATAAATAAATAAAATATGAAAAGAAGCTGAAGAGGTTTTGATGTCCCCTCCCTGTCTCTCTGATTTCTCTAGAGTGGACTCACTCGAAGGGGAAAATACATATAAATGTATTTGTTTGCTTTAAGAGAAAAAAATTAATAAAAATAAATATAAATAAAAAATTAATAAATAAAATTAATAACCCTAATAAGATTGAAGGTATGTATTCATGTTTTTTTATTTATTTTTTTCAACTTATATTTTGACTTAGATGAACACAACTCACATTTATGAGAGGATATAATTGTTGGCATCCCGTATCATTCATTAATCATATTTCCATTACACTTAGTATTTACCAATATATATAAGGAAAAGTTGAAGACAATGAAAACATTAACTTTTTAACAGAAATCAACAATTCAATCAAAGAAGTTCAAGTGTTTGCCGTCATAAAATAACATAAATACCATATCTAAATCTAAGCGAATTTTCATCTTTCATTTTAGTACATTAGATTTCCAATTTAACTTAAAAGTAGTTAAATTAGTTCTTTGTTACCAAGAAGAAGATGACTCCAGCTGAGAATACAATGGATGAAGGTACATATTCATGTTTGCTTGAAGAGAAAAAAAACAAACCATAATAAAATTGAAGGTATGTATTCATGTTTTTAATTTTTTTTTCAATATATATTTTGGCTTCTGTATATTGTATCAGTTTTGGGAATTTAATTAGAAACTTCAAAAGCTGTCTGACGCCATGTTCATCATCCAACTTCCTATTATGTCTGCCAAAACTGATACAATATACAAAAGCCAAAATATGTATTGAAAAAAAGCCAAAATATATATTGAAAAAAAAAAATTAAAAAAAAAAACATGAATACATACCTTTAATCTTATTAGGGTTTGTTTCTTTCTCTTCAAGCAAACATATATTTTTTATTTTTTTATTTATTTTTGGTATCTTTAAGGCGCAAAGAAAATATCAACAATTTAGGTAATTACGTGGTCGTTACACCTAGGATTTGGACTATGAGTAGGCCAATTTGATCAGACAAAGTATCATTATTCTATTTTTTATTTCTTAATCAGAGTTAGTTTTTCTTGTAAATCTATTTTTTTGGCAATCCAACACCTTCAATTGATAGGGCTAAGGATTGGGTCCCCCCTCCCTTCTCTACTCGGTGGAAAGTATGAAGAAAAAAATATTAAAAGTTTGTGAATACTACAAATTTCGATTGGTGCAGTTTTGTATCACTTATAAACTTTTATTGGTTTGTATATTATTTTACATATTGAATAAAAATTGAATGTTTGATTGATGTAGATAGACTAGGATTTCAAATTGAGGTTGGGTATGGAAATTTGTTGGGGGGGGGGGGGGGGGGGGGGGGGAGGAGTGGGGGAGAAGAGAGGGTGGAAAGGAGAGAAGAGAGTCCAGCTAAAAGAGAATCTAAAAATTTTAAATTGGGAAAGAAAAAAATTTGAGTTTGGCTTTATGGGATTTTAAAAAATTTAAATAAGGAAAGAAAAAAATTTTGAATTTGGGTTTAACCAGTAAAAAATTGGATAATAACCATTATTAAAAAAATTTTAAATTTGGACATGTATTTAAATTTTATTGGGCAACATCAATTGGGAGGACCCGAGTATTGTCCCTTGGAAAATGATAGTTTAAATTGGCAATAAACCAATTGTCCTCCTAAATCTTACCTGGCATTTTAAATGTACTAATTTTATATAGTTTCGTAAATGATTTTTTTTTTTTCTTTTTCTATGTCTTAGATTAATATTATATATTGTTAATCTTTAAAAAATAAATAAAAGTTATACCCGAATGAAAATCAAAAAGCAAACATAGTTGTGTATAATACCCATCTCTCTCTCTTCTTCTTCTTCTTTTTTTTATATTGTTTCTTTTACAAAATCCTTGTTCTTGAAATTTTATTTTCAAAATAGTTAGGACTTTTATCATCAACAAGAAGATTTAAATATATTCCAAATTAATTCTTAAAAATCACATGAAGGAAAAAAAGTTAAATTAAACTCAAAGCACAAAATACCAAAAGAAAAATAAAAGGAAAAATTATCATCACCATTTGCATCAAAATTGAATGGCTGATTAAGTTTTGATAGTTCTTGTTTCTTGTACTAATAAGTTCAATTACTTTGTTTAACTCTACCACTTATTCACTTGTGAGATCTTCCATTATTACATACAAAGATTAATATTAAACCTTAGGGAGAGAGAAGAAAATTAGTACAAAGTAGAGAATGAATATTAATTGGGGTGAAAAATGGAGACCAAGAATTATAATGGTAATTGTGGCATCCGAAAAAAAAAATTTAATATTTATATATAAAATTAGGGTTAAAAGTGTCATTTCCTTTAAAAGTGTAGTGCAATCATAGCCTCCTTTTTTATTTAAGTAATTTATTAATTTTTTATTAATATATTGTATCAAAAAGAAGGGTTTTTTTTCCCGGTAAATTTTTTTATAATAAATTAATATATTATAAGTTTTATTATAAATAGTAAATAATAATAAATTAATTATTTTAGAAAATGGTGGTTACAATTTTTTTTTCCTTTCATTTTTATGATAATTGATACTAATAATAAAATTAAGGTAAATAGAATAATTAGTATTTAGATAAGAGAGAAGATAATGAAAATAATTTACTAAGAGATAACAAGTTTAATGAGAAAGGGTAAAATCATATTTTGTTAAAAGTTTGTCCTTAATTGCAACTAATCAATAGTTAAGGGAGGTAATTTCTAATTCAAGGAAATTATTTGCAGAAGAGCAATAGTTAAAGAGATTTTTGCACTTCACCCTAAACCATTATTCTATACATGACATTGAACCACAAAATTTTCTTATATAGTAGTTATATATTACCCGTTTCAATTTTGCAACATTTCGAGTGTTGTCTTCAAAGCTAGTGCTTGAGGCCGAGTCCAATTGAAGTTCCCATCACAACAGCACCAATATTGAAATATGCCAGAATTCCTCCGGATATAAAAATTTAATATTATGAAGAAAATGGGATGACCCATAAAATCATTAATGGCAAGAAAATATAACCCTGAATGACTTTTTAGAAAGGAAAAAAATAAAAAAAAATAAAATAAGAGAAAATAAATAGACAGTATTAACCACAACATAACCTAACATTCAATCCCCAAATTGGAAACAAGAATACACTGTACATTCGTCTGCAGCAGAAACCATTGACCCCCAAGAAAATGGGAACCTGGCAGTCGGATCCAACTTTTAGGTTCAAATAGCCCAAACAGTAGGACTAAATCCACCATTACTCTAGAACAGCAACCTCTTGATCAACCCTCCAGTAATTCGCATCATTGAATTCCTTCATCCCCGCTCCACCCTCATCGGAATTATCTTTCTCCGGCATCTTTGGAATAACATTCCTTTTTAATGGTCCTGCTTCCCCAACAATTCCCTCCTTAAGAGCCTGTTCCATTGCTTTCTCAGTCCCCTCCAGTTCCACCCCTACAAATTCAACATCCTCCTCGAACAAAGAAGGCACAGCCGCAGCTCTCTGACCCAAATCAGATCCAACCGATCCATCACTAGAATCCATGGAAGTAGAGGTGCCATTTGGTGCAGATTCCCCGCTTGAAGGAGTACTAGCATGGGGTGTCACTGCCTCAACTGGACTGGTTAGACTGAGGCTAGAGTTGCCATTATCAACAAATGGATTCATGCTTGATCCACCAACTTGAAAATCCGATGTCTCTCCCCAACCCACCCATTCAGGTAAAGGTCTGTCCCCGAATGGGTCATCGTTGTCTGTCTCAAATTGGAAAAAACCCATATCACCGGAAGCACTTGCCATCTCATTCCGATTGCTCAAGTCTCCACCATTTGTGGGATGGTTTCCACTAAATCCATTCAGGATGTTTGTGTTGGGACTGATTGTATTACTGGCACAATTTTTGCTTTCAGCCAACTCCTCGTCCTCCCCAACTACTACCTCATCGTCGCTACTGCTGTTACCACCACCATTTGATGGTTCATTTAAGTTGATATCATCCATCATCTCAGAGGGTGAGGTGCCCATAGGTACATCACCAATTTTGTTGTCTTGGAAAGCAAACCAATTGGAATTTGTGAACAAACTGCTGCAACATAGGAAACAAACAAGATTATTCTATCGAGAAACACTTGCTGTTCGCAAAAATAGACCATCCCAGGCTAATTTAAGTTCTCACGTGATTTCAACATGATAGAAGTAGGCTCACGCAACATGACTGCCACATGCTAATTGTATTTATCTAAGGAATGTAGCCATCTCACATTCAACAGGTAAGGGATGGATAATTCCTGACACAACCAGCCAACCAACCTATATATATTACCTAAATGCTTCAAATTAGAATTGCCAGCTCCTATAGTTAAATAATTAGAATGTGTTCGCTTAGCCAAGACCCTTAACAAAAAGACAGATAGGATTGTTAGTCCTGGAACCTGAAGAAATATTTTGTGTTAGACATCAATTCGTAGGATTAACAGACATTTCTTGTACACCAATGCATTTTGCAACAATCTCGCTGAAATTGTCTTTGGAAATTCAGGACATCAAACAAAACACACGGGCTTCAAAGTTTATACTTGGGGTCTGTTTGTTTGTGCGTATTCATTCCTTTTTTTCCCATTTTTCGGTGGGAGGATAGTGTAATGAGTCAATGACTACATGAGAACACCAAGACAGTATCCCACCAGAATCTTGGGCACACCATGACCCTTAGAAAGTTAACAGCACCAAGGAAAATTACAAGCTGCGGGACTCATCATATGTCTATGTTACCTTGATTCTTTCTATTTCCCTCCAAGGACCAGTGTCGACAAGACATGACTTGGGTACAGGAATGGAATATGTGTTTTGCGTACCTAACTCAGACACCTAGATCCTCTAAATTTGACGACAGAAGAAGATAAAGAGCTCAAATTAGATGGCCTAAAAGGGCTTCTTACTTCTGAGATGCGTGGAATCACCCTTTTTAAACCTCAATTCCATTTATGAAAAAAAAAAAATCTCATTCCATTTAATTCAAATTACTGTTGAGGATATTTAAAAAATAATATTAAGGTAAATTACACTTTTATGTAGTGTATTATGGTTTTCAGTTAGCAAGATGCGTCTATGCACCACTATCCAATTTTTAGACACATTTAATATGAGCCCTGGTATTTCAATTTTGTGAAGATCGGACACTACAACACATACCCGCACCCCATACAAGTACCCAAGTCCAAGTACCTTATGTTGCATGAACTTTTCAAAAGTAGTTGGAGTACCCATGCAGACGCATTATACTCGGAAATGGGCACAAGAAATATGTCCGACACTTTTGTTTGAACATGGACCCTAAAATCATATCCAATGATTCAATTTTAATATATTATTGCTTCAAAACGAGTGAAATGCCTATATTAAACACTGTGTAACATAAATAAATTATTCTACTCTATAAAATTAAATATATATTAAATAATATGAATATTTAGTAGTGTCCATGTATCCATTGTTTGGGGATTTGATATGTCTGACACTTGGATACACACCGTACCAATTACATGTACCCAAGCCCAGGTAACAGAATAAGGTAAGGGTAAGCCCATTGCACGAGACTCCAGCAATTACGAGATCTGGGAAAGGCCAGACGTACGCATCCTTACCTCCACATGCGGAGAGACTGTTTCCCGTTTCGAACCCAGAACCTACAGGTTGCAATGGAGCAACCCAACCATTGCGCAAGGGCCCGCCCTTAGCCTTACTCTGCATACAAAGAGGCTATTTTCTGTTTCGAGTCAGCGACCTCTAGATTGCAATGAAGCAACCTTACCATTGCGCAAGGGCCCACCCTCAACCCAGGTAACATAGTCATAAGTAAAATTCCCCTACTTGCACATATCACTTGCTAACGACTAGTCATGGCCATTTAAAGTTCCCCTTCCTTGAACTAAATTCCAAATTTCATACAAAAATGGCTAGAAAACTCACCTCCCTTGGTCATCACCTAGCCTCAGGGATGATATTACAACTTCAGCAGATTCATCATCAAAGTAGACATCCTGCAATTTTGTGAACCAAAAATAATAACAATCAGTAATAAGAACCACTTTAAAACAAATTTTTCTCCTAATTTATCGCCATTCATTATTGTTAATTCACTAGTAGACTGAGGAGGGAATGAATTCATTAGATTTATTTACTAGAAAATATTGAAAATATTACCTCATCATCTCGGTCAAGAGCACCATGGCCCTGCAACCAAGATGATACAAACAAAATTATAGCATTAAAAGTGTCACAAAAATTAAAAATAGAAAAGAAAAGAGGTATTATACAAGAAAACTATCATATAAATGTACTATATACCGCTTCAGCATCCTCATTGTCATATATGGTGTATCTAAATGCTTGGCTTAGATTATTTGCTAAAGCCGCTACATCATAATCTCTGTCATGAAGGTCATCCTCGTCGCTATCCCTTGTCCTATCTTGCAATGCAGTTGGACGACTGCAAAAAATAAAATAAAAAAATAAAAATCAATCAGGAAGGGAAATGGCCAAAAGACATTGCAAGGATTACTTTTCAGTTTTATTAAAAATAAATAAAGTTGGGGTGATTACTGATCCTTCCATCTAGTACCTAGTAAATGAACTCTTTTTTTATTTTATTTTATCCTGGAGTAAAATGTTCTTCCTGCTTTGTTGAGACAACTTTTGAAGGCCCTCAAAACATTCCGCAACTTCTCAACTCTTCCTATTATATTCCTCTCCCCCTAAAACTAAAAGGCTTGGAAACCACTGTGTGACCTCCCTCTCTTATCATCCTCCCTTTCTTTTTCTTTTTCTTTTCTTTTCATTCTCCTTTTCCATCTCTTCTGTTCTTGCTCCATTTCACTTAAATATATTATCTCTATTTATTCCAGTTGTCTTATGATTTTTCCCCCCATTCCTCCTCTTATATTTTGAAGCACCCAGATGGAAGTTACATCAACAACAATGGTCTGGGAAGTTTTATTCTTCAATATGTATTGCATATTGTGCTTTGTAGTTTGTAGAATGCAGGTTCACACATTAAAACTAAGAGGTTTTGTTTAAATTCAGATATCATGATTCCTTCTCAGCAAAGAAAGTAATAAAATATTTCCAGCAACAAAGATGTGTCCATTAATAGCACCAAATGAAACCAAAGAAATACAGACAATGATACAGGGAAAATAAATTATCATAAGAATACTACAATTGTAAATATGCAGTTTTCTCAAAAGCATATAAATGTCCCAACATGGTGAACTTAACTTCCAAGAAATTCTTTGGAGAAAATAGTAAAATATAGGTTAAGAAATTACGGGAAAAAAACAGTAACTTGAACATTATTGTTTTATTGAATTTCATCTTATACTGTTTTTTTAACAGAATAAGCCTCAAAATTTACTGATGCAAGATGATAGCACCCAGGTTGGACTCAGAGCTAGCATTTTAAGACCATAAATAGAACCACCACTTATTCTACACATCAATACCCCAACCACATTTTGCATTCTACGCAATACGTGGCAGCAGAAAGAGGAGGCAAGAAGATACCCGCAAGCCCAACGGTAGATGTTCTCTATCATATTACGCTCCTGTAGAACAGTAGTTTGCCAATCATTCCACACATTATTTTCCTGAAGAAAACAAATAAAAATATATTTTAGTTAAAAGAGGTGGAAGATAAAAGTACTCCATTTGAAAACAAAATATCCTTAGTTCATTTATGCGACAGAAAAAAATGAGCTTCACAATCTCAACAATCTTAGATTCCAGAATATATGCTAAATACTTTAAAGCATGACAGAGAAGTGAACTAACAAGAGTTATGACGCGCATGTCTCCTTCAATTGGAAGTGTTAGAATGTTTATGTGTGTATATATATATATATATTTATGTTGGGTCATTATGTAAATTACACATAGTTGGTAGGGTCATTATGTAATTAGCGAACTAGACCTGGCTGCAATGGCACTTCCTACTCATTTCCGTTCCGAGTCTAATATAATGTTTGGTTCACTGGCTACACGATCGAGGGAACATTACCAATCTAGGTCCCCGTCCGGCCGCCCCTGGCCTAATATAATAAGAACGAATATCCTTATGACCAAACAAGGACCAGCTTACTTACTTATTGAGTGATAGTTACATGATCCCGACCAGCAACTTGTTGGGAGTAGGGGCGGCAAAGCTTGCCCTGTTGATACACAACAGGGCTTGGAGATAGAGGGTTTCCGGGGGAGATACTGTTTCCGGGTAGGGTTGAGATATATGAAATATACAAATTGCAGCCTATCTCTCTCTCTCTCTCTCTCTCTCTCTCTCTCTCTCTCTCTCTCTCGCGTCAGTTTGAACATGGTATCAGAGCCATACGAAATCGTGGGTGTGGGAAACTGCAATTGTGGTGTTCTTGTATAGATTGGAATTGCGATTGAGGTCAACCCTGTTCTTTGCCAAAAGTTTGGTCGCCAGTCTGTTCAGAGCTTCTCATTCGTCGTCCTCAGATCTAAAGCCCCATTTGGTTGCTCGTGTTGTTGCCGCTTTGGCTGTCGGCGAGCTCGCCGCCTTCTACCGTCGTTATTTGCAGAGGTGAGGCTTCATCAATTCGTGTTTTTTTTTTTTTGGCCAGAAGTTGCAGAGGTTTTGTTCAATGTGGTGTCGCTGCTTGTTGATTCGGCCGCTGCTTGTGATTGGATTGTCGTCGCCGCCGCTACGTGCTTGCCGGCGTCTATGAGTTTGTAAAGAAGAACAACCGTGTTTGGCTACACGGTTATGCTATCCCAACCCTGGTTTACTAAAACCGGAGTTGCAGAGATCTGGTTTTGATTCAAACCGTTGGCCCAGATTCGACCCGTTTGCCTAGATTCAGCCCAAATACAAATTCAGCAATTTTTTTCCCAGGTTCGATAATTTATTTTGTTCTCTTCTCCATAGTTGCCAGTTCAGAACTGTTATCTTCCGCTTCCTTCAATCCTCCCAGGACTTCAGTAAAGCTCAATGGCAAGAATTACGTTTTATGGGCCAAGTCAGTAGCAATTTTCCTAAAAGCCAAAGGCTTTGGCACTCATTTGGTTAAACCTAAAGACAGTGATGCTGATTTCAATTCATGGGAACAAAGGGATGCTCAGATCATTTCTTTAATGCTGAATTGTATTGAACCCCATATTAGCTCCAACTTCTTGTATTTGGACACTGCCAAGGAGATATGGAACCGACTCCAACAGTTATATTCGAGTACTGGTAATATCACCAGAATTTATGAGATGTGCAGACAATTCTTTGACTTACAAAAAGGTACTCACAGTCTAGAAGAATACTTCTCACGGGCAATGGGAATTTGTGAAGAAATGAACTTGTATCAGCCCATCACCTCTGATGTGAAGAGTATACAACAACAACGTGAGGATTTTAATGTTGTTCGTGTTCTCACAGGGTTATCACCAGAGTATGAACCTGTTTGAGTACAGATTTTGGGTAGCACGGCACTTCCCTCTCTTCCTGATATGTTATCCAGACTCCAACGTGCTACTCTATCTAGTGGCGCTTCAGGGGGTGCTTCAAGTGGTGTCGCTGTGGTCTTACTAATCACATTGTCAATTACTGTTGGGCTCTTCATGGGAAACCGCCACCTTCTCCCTATGCACATCACGTGACCTCTAATGAAAGAGATTCTTCTTTCTCTGCCACACCAATTGCTCCACACGTGGCTGTTAAGCCTTCCATGGTCACGATTCCCCGCGATGAGTATGCTCAGCTCATGTCTCAACAACGGCCTTCCACCTCATCTTCCATGGTTTCCTTTGCAAAACAGGTAGTGCACCTGCATGTCTCTTATCCTCTCGTCAGAGTCCCCGGATTCTTGACTGTGGCACATCCGATCACATGACTGGTAGTTCTCATCTCCTATCTGATTTTCAATCTGTTCCTTCCTCTCAAAGTGTTACTCTTGCTAATGGCTCATCAACTAAAGTTTTGGGTTTAGGAACTACTCATCTCACCTCTTCTATGTCCCTCTCCTCTGTATTATATGTTCCTCAATTCCCTTTTAATTTGATGTCTATTAGTAAAATTACTTAATTTCTTAACTGCTCCGTTACATTTTATCCCACATGTTGTATTTTTCAGGATCTCACGACGAAGAAGAAGATTGGTACGAGACATGAAGTAGGTGGCTTGTATTACTTTGATTTTGTACCATCTCCCACGGCTCTTCAATCATCTCTATCTTCTTTCCAGTGGCACGGTCGTCTTGGCCACCCATCATTATCAGTTTTGAAGCGTCAAGTCCCCAATCTTAGTCATGTCGAGTCCATGTCTTGTGAAGCATGTCAGCTTAGTAAGCATTGTCGTGTATCCTTCAAACCTAGAGCTACTAATCGTGTTGCTAGTCCTTTTCAGTTAGTTCATTCAGATGTATGAGGACCAATAAAACATATTTCTATTAATGGAGTTCTTTATTTTCTGACATTTGCGAACGATCATTCTCGAAGACTTGTTTGTTTTTAATGAAAAATCGTTCTGAGTTATTCTTTATTTTTCAAATATTTTGCAAAGAAATAAAAACTCAATTAGGGTGTTCCATTAAAGTTTTACGTACTGATAATGCCAAAGAATATTTCTTGGACCCTTTTGAGACTTATTTTCATACTAAAGGCATCATTCATCAATCACCTTGTACTTATACTCCTCAACAAAACGGAGTAGCTGAACGTAAAAATCGTTATCTCCTGGAAGTATGTCGTGCCCTTTTATTTCATATGTATGTTCCCAAACGTTTTTGGAGTGTTGTTCTTACGGCCTGTCATCTTATTAATCAAATGCTCTCATCGATGCTACAAAGGAAATCTCCTCATTCTGTTCTATTTCCCAACTTCGCGTCGTTTAATCTTACTCCTTAGGTCTTTGGATGTGTGTGTTATGTGCATAACCTTGGACCCGATCTCGTCAAACTCGACCCTCATGCCACTAAGTGTGTTTTTCTTGGGTATTCTCGCACTCTGAAGGGTTATTGTTGCTACAGTCCTCATTTTCAACGCTATTTCACTAGTGTTGATGTCTCCTTTTCTGAGTCTCTCCCATATTTTTCTGATTCTACTCCCCTCGATATTAATCCTGAACCACTAATGCCAACTGTTCCCTCTCTATTCCCTGCTCCCGCACCTCCTCGCTTCGTTGTCCCATTGCAGGTTTATACTCGACGACCTCGACCGCCTACTTCGCTCCCTCCATCTCCTTCAGTCTTTGGATCCGACGCCATCTACTATGCCTGATGATTTGCCTATTGCTCTCCGTAAGGGTTCTCAATCGTGTGTTACTGCACTAACTTTGTCTCCTACCGTAATGTTTCATTCTCTTTATCTTGTTTTTTATCCAAAGCGTCTACTTTTGTTCCCAAGACTTTGCAGGATGCTCTCTCTAATTCGGATTGGCGCCAAGCCATGGTAGATGAAATGGATGCCCTTCACCGTAATCGGACATGGGATCCTGTTAGTTGTTCCCTTACCTTCGGGCTCCAAAACGGTTGGTTGTAAGTGGGTCTACACTGTTAAATACCTTCACGATGAGTCTATTGAGTGGTTGAAGGCTCGTCTAGTGGCAAAAGGGTACACTCAGACTTATAGTGTTGATTATGATGAGACTTTTTCCCCTATTGCTAAGATTTCTTTTATTTGGGTACTTATTTCCATTGCTGCCAATTGTAATTGGCCGTTGTTTCAATTGGATGTCAAAAATGCCTTCTTACATGGTGACTTGGTTGAAGAAGTTTATATAGAGCAACCACCTGGGTTTGTTGCTCAGGGCGAGTATCGTCACACTGTTTGTCGTCTTAAAAAGGCCCTATATGGATTGAAACAATCTCCACGGGCTTGGTTTGGAAAATTCTCTGAGGCGGCATTAGAATTTAGTCTTAGCAGATGACAGACCGATCATTCAGTATTTTACTAGCGCACTAAAGTTGCCTTCATTTTTCTTTTGGTGTATGTAGATGATATTGTGATCACAGGTGATGATTCTGAAGGCATTGCTAACTTAAAGTTGTTTTTGTAAAATCGATTCCACACTAAAGACTTGGGTAAACTTAGGTATTTCTTGGGAATCGAAGTTGCTAGATCCAAGGAAGGTATAAGTTTATCTCAACGAAAATATATGCTGGACTTATTAGAAGAAACGGGTATGTTAGGTGGTTGTCCGGTTGATGCTCCTATGGATTCAAATACAAAACTTGTATCTGATGAGGGTGATCTATTTAATGACCCGGGAAGATTTCGTCACCTTGTTGGGAAATTAATTTATCTCACTATCACTCAACCTGATATTTCATATGCAATTAATGTTGTAAGTCAATTTATGGGAGCTCCTAAAATGCCACATCGGATTGTTGTTCTTCTGAGTATCCGATATTTCAAGCAAGCTCTAGGTTTTATGTTACTATATAAATCAAATGGTCATCTCAGGGTGGAAGGTTTTACAGATGCTAACTGGGCTGGTTCTCCTTCAGATAGGAGATCTACTACAGGCTACTGCACATTTGTAGGAGGAAATCTTGTTACGTGGAGAAGTAAAAAGCAAACGGTGGTAGCTCAATCTAGTGTTGAAGCTGAGTACTGGGCAATGGCCCATACCACTAGTGAGTTGACATGGATACAACATTTTCTAAAAGAGCTTGGGTTAACATTTGAAGCTCCTATTCCATTGTTCTGTGATAATCAAGCAGTTGTTCACATTGCATCAAATCATGTGTTTCATGAGAGGACCAAACATATTGAAGTTGATTATCACTTCATTCGAGCAAAAATATTAAGTGGAAGCATCTCTACTCCATTTGTGAAGTCTGAAGATCAATTAGCTGATATGTTTACCAAAGCGTTGGGTCATAACCGGTTAAGGACTATCTGTTCCAAGCTGGGATTATTTGATATATATTCTATAGTTTAAGGGGGAGTGTTAGAATGTTTATGTGTGTGTGTGTGTGTATATATATATATATATATATATATATACATTTATGTTGGGTCATTATGTAATTACACATAGTTGGGAGGGTCATTATGTAATTAGCTCATTCCTGTATCTTTATATAAGCTTCTGTTGGCTTAGGGTTGAGATATATGAAATATACAAATTGCAGCCTCCATCATCTCTCTCTCTCTCTCGCTCTCTCTCTCTCTCTCGTCAGTTTGAACAGAAAGCAACCAGGGAAAAATAAAAATAAGAAATAAGAAGAATTAGAAACAAAATTATGGAGGTATCTAAAGAAAAACAAGGTGACTCTGCACCTGAATTTTGGGAAGGTTGGAGACAACTGTATGGAGGTATCAGCGCCTTGAGAGTTTGAAGTGCATGTGTCCTTCCATTAACATGCTTGTTGGTTGATTATGATAGTTACTTTAACATGCTTGTTGGGCGATAGTAAAATTTCAGTTAATTGATACAGTTAAAATTTAAAATTCTATTAAACCCCCCTCTAGTTCTAATTAGGCTTAACATACTCTTAACTATCAGAGCCTTTGGTAACGGTCCTTTCCCTTAAAAACTTATCCCGTACAAAAGCAAGACTACTTTGACAATGATGTTATAGCCATTGTTAAAGGAAACATTTTCTTTGGAAGCGCAGAACTTAGATCTTGGGCCCGAAGTCACTAAAGAAGACTTTATGTTCGCTAAAACTTGTCAACTGCTTTTCACCTGAGATTTTATATATATATATATATATATATACAAGTAAAACTATTTTTGACCAGATTCATTCCAACTTCTTGGATTAGTTTTAATGTGTATGCATATCCTGGTGATTTTCTTGATCTTTGAAGTGTTAAGAACCATTGCTTTACAATGGCAAAAGTTGGTGAACAAGTTTTAGGATGCAGGTTGGAGCTTGAGAGCAGCCACTTTGTGTAAAATAATGGTGAAGGTTAGGTCTTCCTCTGTTCTTCCCCGCTCAATGCTTCACTTAGGCAGGACTAGTTTCAGGAAATGACCCAAAAGGAGTATATGATATCAAGTCTAATAATCATTTTGCTAAAAGGGTTTCCTAATTCAGTACAATTGCTGGAGCGCTATAAGAACTTCGAAAGTTTTCTTTGCCGGAAGTTCATGTTTTTAGTTCTGTTCTTTTAGACATTCTAATTTCTAAAAGTTCTTATTTGTTTGAGTTCCGTGTTTGAGTCCAATTAGGACAAATTTTTTGGCAACTCCACTATAGATTTTTTTCTTTTTTTGACATTCTAATTTTTTTTTTGAGTTCATGTTTTTAGTTCTGTTTTTATTTGCTTCTTCTTATCAGAAGCTTTATACCGAGCCATTAGTTTGGAGGCCCAAACTTGATGGTCTCCATTTTGAGGCTATTTCTGATATGGATAGAGATAGGATTGAGAATCCTTTTACTGAAGAAAAAGTTCTAAAAGCTTTATCAAGTTGTAATGGGGACAAAGCTCCGAGGCCTGACGGCTTTACTATGCGTTTTTTGATGGAAGGTTGGGCGGTAGTAAGAAATGAGGTAATGGGTACTTTTCAGAAGTTTCATTCTTATGGCGTCTTTGAAAAATCGCTTAATGCTTCATTTATTGCCCTAATCCCTAAGAAGGGAGGTGCTTCTAACATTAAGGATTTCCGTCCAATCAGTTTGGTGGGTTGTATTTACAAACTTATTGCTAAGGTGCTTGCCCTAAGGATGAGGGAAGTAATGGATGGGATTATTTCGAACTCCCAGAATGCTTTTGTTGGAAGACGGCAAATTCTTGATTCAGTTCTTATTGCTGGCGAATGTGTGGACTCCAGATTGCGTAGTGGTATTCCTGGAGTATTATGCAAACTTGATATTGAAAAAGCATACAATCATGTGAATTGGAATTTCCTACTCTATTTGTTACAAAGAATGGGGTTTGGAAGTAAATAGAGGAAGTGGATTGAGACTTGTCTTTCGTCTGTTAAGTTTTCAATTCTTATGAATGGTTCTCCCGCTGGTTTCTTTGGCTGCACTAGGGGTATAAGACAAGGAGATCCTTTGTCATCTTTTCTTTTTCTTCTTGTTATGGAGGGGTTAAGCAAACTTATGTGCAGGGCAAAGGACCTTGGTTTTATTAAGGGATTCAGGGTGGGGTAGAGATTTAGTCCATCAGATGGAGATTTCTCATTTACTTTTTGCAGACGATACCCTGGATTTCTGTGATGCTGATGTGTCTCAACTTCGATACTAGAGGTGTATACTGACTTGTTTTCTGGCGGTTTCCGGGCTAAAGGTCAATGTGGCTAAGAGTGTGCTTGTCCCAGTAGGGAATGTTCAAGATATATCCTCTTTAGCTGTAGTTCTTGGATGCAGAGTGAGTTCTTTCCCTATTCCTTATTTGGGCTTGCCCCTAGGGGTCTCTTCAAGGTTAGTGGGGAGTTGGGATTCAGTGATTAACAGGTATGCGAAGAGATTGGCAGGATGGAAGAAGCAATACTTGTCTGAGGGGGGTAAAGTTACTCTTATTAAGAGTACGTTATCGAGCCTTCCCACTTATTTTCTTTCTATGTTCCAAATCCCTTGTTCCGTTGCAGATAGGATTGAAAAAATTCAAAGGGATTTCCTATGGGGAGGAAGGGGCGATGAGTTCAAGTACCACCTTGTCAGATGGGAGCAAGTTTGCAAGCCTGTGAAATTGGGTGGACTTGGAATAAGACGTTTAGTTCCTTTCAATCAAGCTCTCCTGGGTAAATGGTTATGGAGATATGGGAGGGAAAGACATCGTCTATGGCGCAACAGGTTAGTCTCTTGTCGGTTTGGGGAAGAGATTGGAGGCTGGTCAACACGTCCGGTTACCCTTGTGGGAGGAGTAGGGATGTGGAAGTCTATTCAGAAGGGTTGGGATGCCTTTTCTGCTCATAATCAGATTCAAAGTCCGTGATGCACGTCGCATTCAGTTTTGGAAAGATCTTTGGTGTGGTGATCAGCCACTATCTCGTACATTTCCTAGATTATTCAGTATTGCAATTGATAAACACGCCTACGTAGTTGACTGTTATCGGCTTGATAGCAACGCAATTACGTGGGATGTGCATTTTTGGCGCTCTTTTCAGGATTGGGAGATGGATGAGGTATGTGTTTTTCTGGATCTAGTGTCTCGGCAGAAGGGTGTTGGCAGAGATAATGACGATTTGATTTGGGTTCCTTCTTCCCACAGTCGTTTCAAAGTAAGATCCTTGTTCTTATGTTTGTCTAATTTTGATAATCGTGACTTCCCGTGGAAAACTATTTGGCGGTCCACGAGTCCAACTAGGGTGGCTTTCTTTGTCTGGACCGCTTTTTTTGGGAAAGATTCTGACAATTGATAATTTGAGGAAAAGGAGCAATTGTATTGTTAATCGGTGTTGTCTAAGCAAGAATGATGAGGAGTCAGTTGATCACCTCCTTATGCATTGCCCTGTGGCGAACGATTGTTGGAATCTTATTGTTGAGTTGTTTGGCATGTGTTGGGTAATGCCACGATCTACTAAGGAATTAATCCTTGTTTGGAGAAGATGTTGTGTGAGAAGAGATGTACGCGATTTCTGAAGAATTGTCCCACATTGTGTATGGTGGTGCATTTGGAAGGAGAGAAATAGCAGAATATTCGAAGGGAAAGAGTCGCCTACGGCAATGGTGAAACTATACATTCTTCGTTCTCTTTTCAATTATGCGAAGAGGAGCTTTTGCTCCTCTTCTAAAGATCTAACTACTTTTTTGGATTCTTTGGGGCCTTAGTCCCGGTTCCACTTTTGTAATAGGGACGCGTTCCCCTTTTGAACGCCTTTTTAATATTATTATTACTTATCAAAAAAAAAAGTACAACTCTACTACTAGATTTTCTTAAAAGCATTCTAGTTTCAATTTTCAAGTCCAATTTGGTTACCATATTAGATAGACTTGTATTTTGTAAGAAAAAAAATAATAATAATTCTTTTACTTGACTAGGAAATACTCCAATATCCACAAGGCCTACTATACAAGGACAAGTGTTGAATGACATGATATTGAATTTAAGGAATTTAGTTACGAGATTTAGTGATTCCTTGCCTATATTCTGCTGCTTCTTTTGAAGGCTATTTTTGTTTTGTGTGTGTGGTTTTGGGGAGGGGGGTAGCAGCAACAACCAGTAATCAAACACCATATATTTAAATCCTTGTCTATTTATAAACCATATACAGGCTTTTTATGAAAACTTAAATGCAATAAGTAATTTTAAGTGTTACCCCAACTAAGTGGGTGACTATAGAGAGCATCCTATTAAAATTTCAAGAGCTATCCAGCATAATTTCTAGTTATTTATTTTACAAAAATCAAAGAGATACATATGAAACTGCAAGAGAACAAGCCTCATATGGCCCATGCCAAATAGTTGGGCCAGACTTTGTTGAGTTAGCTTTGCATATAAGAAACTGCAGATGCTATATAAGGTATAACTTAAGAGTTCAAGTGTCTTAAAGAAATCTATCACGCAACATTTAGACTGTTGTTAATAATCAAAGCTCAAAAGAAACATAATAGCAGGCTATATAGAAACATAATTTGGTCCAAACCCAACACCAACCTTAAGATACGCCTGAATGTGGCTATTGTTGTTTCCCAACTGAACAAGCTTATTAGAGATCCGTGTAACGTGTCCAAGGTTTCCCAACCTTGGTGCTCGTCTTCCAGTAGCAGGTAAAGTTGGCTGCACAACAAAGTTATCCACGCTGTCACATATTCTAATTAAAACACTTACAAAAGGGAGATGACTCTGTTTATGGCGTACGCAGATGCTGCAAAATGAAAATCTTCCTACAGGAATCTCTTTAAAATCCCTCGTAAATTGGAAATCAAATGTTTCCACAGTGTTTTCAGTCAATCGCTAGTGGAACATAAGGAAAAAGCTAAAAGAACCACCACTGCAACACTCCAATTATACAAATGGCTGTAAAAAGTACTTTTTATAAATTATGGACATTTGTCACTTGAAGAATGCATCCGCCAACCTGATTGAGATCACCAGAGAGAATGGGATGTTTATCTGCTTGGAGAACTTTTCCAATTAAATCACACTCTTTGAGAAGATGATCAATAATGGTACTATTTTTGCTCTCCATGCATGAAAATACAATACTCTCCACATGATGATGCAATGAAGTATTGTATGGGTACCTGCATCAATTGAGATGACAAAGATAAGCTAAGAAGCACGGATACGGACATGGATACGATACAGACACGATACGACACGGATATGCCAACACATCAAATTCTTAAAAAGTAGGACACAGACACAATGTGGACACGGTAATATAAATATAAATTTTCATTTGTATATTTATTGGATGAGATCATCACAAATCTTTAATTAATATATAAATTCTATACTAAGTGTCCGAGAATGTGTTGACCAAGTGTCCGAGATGTGTAGCCCAAGTGTTTATTTTTAAATAACGGACACGGCCATGAAGTGCCAGACACGTGTCTAAAAGTGTCGATGGAGTGTCGGTGTTAGACACAGACACGGCACCTCTTAGAAGCATCCGTGCTTCTTAGAAGATAAGGTACTAGAGATCGTGTATATTTAGACAAAGACACGAATAACGAAATGATATTTGTTAAGACCAAGGCTTGTTACTATCTACCGACTTAATAAATTCATCATTCATGCATTAAGAAGAGGAGGATTTGAAGCAATATCTTACTCAAAGAACAGATCAATGACTCTTTGTATTGTCCCCGAGCTGACCAACTCTTCCTCTCCAACTTCATTTCCAGTTTTCAGTAGCACAGCAATGAACTCCACAATCTAATATCAGGGAGTGTAACAATTTAGAACTAGAAAACAGAGTAAGAAATGATCAAAGAACTCTGCTAGCAGGAAGGAACTGAATACAAGCTGGTGACATGCATCTATCCTAACTCCTAACCAGATTTTGAGAACTCCAGACAAACAATTAAAACTTTAATACTTGGCTTTGAAACATAACGGCAAACTCAGTTAATTTAACTTCACACGTGGGATGGGATTCATATGCATGGTTATATTTTCATCATTATGTAACACAGAGAAGGCCCAAACTAAAGCAAGAAAAAAGAACCTTTAAACGATGTTTCCCAAGAGGAGGCCTCAGTTCACCATATGTCGTAGGCAAACTTTTCTCATCAGATGACACATTCAATAGCATCAACAAGTCACCTGCAACATGAGATGCACAATGGTATTAACAATTGTTGTGGAAAAGCAACAAATAAAAATTAGTTTGCAGAAATGCCGAACTCCCAAAACATTTCTGGCACAGTGGTGCTGCATGGTACTTGAAAGAGGGTGGGGTGGGGTTATCCTTCGCCAATCCAAAAACTTAAGAATTGCATTAGATGTGTTTTCATCCATAATAATAAATCGCATTATAATATTCACAATCACCACAAACTGAAGTTGGTATCACCATGAGCAAGATGCATTTGACTTTATTCCTCTTAGGTGTAATAATGATTAATGAACAAATTGTATTTAACCTTAGGGTAAACTGCCAAAAACATCCCCTCAATTATCAAAAAATTATACACCCCCCTATTAAAGCAACAAACTCCCCTAAACTATAAAAAATTGCAATTAAGGCCAGTCCATCAACTAGCTGTTTATAAGCATGATAATTGATATCCCCTGCATGATGAATTAAATAAATAATATAAATTGTGAAGTTATGGACCAATCCCCCACAATAAAACAAAAGCCGTAGAGATACAAGTAAAGCACAAAAAAAGGGGATGTGCAAAAATAGCATTACAAGAAGAAAGAAACTCTATTATTGCCTCCATGGGCATGACCAAAACCATCAGTCGAGAGTAAATAAAACCAATTATAAAAAATCAAAGAGATGGAAGCAAGGAATCTAGAAGCCTATGACCAAAATCTTTACAGCCTTAGTGACCAGTTATGGAAGGGACGGTGGCACAGCACAAACCTTAACATTTTGATCAACGGAAACTTTGGACTGAGGAAGCAGCCCTTTTTACAATTATACCACTGGCGGGCCCGTGGATTACTATTTCCCACTTTTTGGATATTATACATACGACATACAGCGCATCCAGTCAAACACTAAGTCACACAATTCTTCTAAATGGGTGCTGCTCTCACTCTCTCACTCTCTATGTGTGCTTCTGCTCCCCCTCTCACTGTGTGACTTAGATTTTCCAACTCTCGCTCGTGCTGTTTGACTTAGGTCAAACACGCATGGAAGTTTCGCTCAAAATAAATAATTGAATACAAATAAAGAGGAATTGGGTACTAAACAAGAAAGCTAGACAACTCCTCAGCAATTTGTTGTGAAGAAATAGGATACAAAATCAGAAATTTGAGAAAATTAATGAACTAAGAATAAGGTTTAGTAAGATATTTATATTTAAAATCACATGAAATGCCTATATTGCATTTACTCAAACACTATAGAAACAAGTACCCAAACTGTCAATGCATGAGGTGGCCAACAACCAAAGTTCCCAACATGCTTAGATTTCCAATGTTCCTTTTCAAAGTAACTAGAAACGAATAACAAACAAATTCCAACATCATACAGAATATCTGATTCACATTACAAAAAAAATAAAAATAAAAATAATAATAAATAGTTGGTTCATCACATTATATGAGCTTAAGAGATTACATGTTTAAAAGTGAACTTAAATTGAGAAAAAAAGAAAAAAACTCAGAAATTCTCATTTTTTTTCATCAGAAAAAACTGTTGCTGACCAGTGCCATGAAGTTCATATTCTACGAGAGATAAAAAATGCAAAAGATATATTCATAAAAATTACCTAGTTTGGGCAGCATTGCATTAACTGTCTCAGGATTAAGAGGTATAGTTGGCTCATACATGTGTTGACTTCGGATAGTATGCATCAAGGGAGAAGTAATTGATCGTTTTGGATCCAACAAAGAAATACACACTGACAACGAGTGGACAAGGCCTGATCTTGAATGCGAGTCTTCTAATCCATGATCAAATATCCTTGCCACAAAACTGCATATAAACAAAAATTTCAAAACAAATTGGTTAAATAAATATTTCAATTAAAACAAATGACAGACCAAAAAGTTAATTGAGGGGAATAAAAAATTTGAAATCGCACAAACCTTGGGCTAGAAAGTTTAGTGGCGAGAGTTGATGGGGCACTCCGAGTTATAGAGCATAAAGTTTCTGCCGCATTAGCATGAACTTCAGGAGAACTCTGCTACATTTAACAAATTAGTCAGATGAATCTACAAGACATGCAAAATCTAATTACTGGAAAATACTACCTTCATGTAAAATTATACTCAGCCACCATTCCAACCACACAGGCCAAGAGCAAACAATAATGGTGACAATATTGGTGCCTAGAGGGCGGTCCCCCAGTTAATTTCCTCTTATGACCCTTTTTTCCTTAACAACTAATAAGAACTCTCCACACCAAGTCAATCCTCTTCCTTTTCCTCTCCCCCCCCCCCACCCCCCCCCCCCCCCCCCCCCCGGCTGACTGGACCTTCCTCCCACTCTTCCCAGTTCCCTCCTCCCAGGCTACCAAAAGGCTCATAAATATTTAAGTGCTCACCCGATAGACCACCCATTAGTTACAAAGAATAGTATTACTGTATATAAGCTCATACTGCAATTCATTAACTTACTAATGGACTCAATTTATCCACAATCATTTCTAGTAAATTGCTATCAGCCAACCACCGCATCACATCTATAGAATTGGGATAAATATGGTCATCAGCTCCCACGAGTCGAATCAAAACCTGTATGAAGAATTCCATCAGTAGAGAAGATTATGTATGAATGCAAATCAAAAGGACGGAAATTAACAATTACATGTGACATCTTACAAAAGAGTGAATACTCAAATTTTGAAACATAAATCTGAGTACTAACCTCCATGATTGATGTGATACCAATCAAATCAACCAGTTGGCGGAAAACATCTTGATGGGCCTGTAAAACACAAAACTAAGTCATGAACCAAAGACAATTTTAGAAGGAAAAAATGGGGAGGACAACCAACCAATCATTAATTTTTCACAGAAGCTATAACTGACATTCCAGTGTTAAATAGATATTTTTTTCTTTTTCTTTTTCTTTTTCTTTGGATGGTAATTAATAGATACCTATTTCCAGTATGTAGTAATTACCGGTCACAGTCTCACATCATGTAAAGAGTCTTTACCATAAACATAACCAGAGGGACGAATCTTATCAACTGATCAGCCATATAACATCCAGAGTGTAATAAATGTCTTCACAACACCATGAAGTCATATAGCCTTGTCTACAAACATAATTCATCAGGAACATCAAGCAGTGCCCAAAACTAATAGGCATAGCACTACCACAGATCATCTCTTTCAGAATGGAGGGCCCGAGCAATTTTTAAGTCGTCAAAACTATCAACAGTCTAATATTAAATGTTCATCAACATAATAAAAACTACTCGCACAAAAGTCCAACTATAGAAATTTAATTTATTTTTGTTGTATAGATTTCACATATTTTCCATTTCATAAAGATCAAGGCTAGAATCCATTGTTGGCCATGTCAATGTGGAGTTCATGGCTGGGTGGACAATACAAAACTAATCTTTGATGTTAATTCGCGCAACTGCTTTAAAGTTCAAACCCGTGTTCTCACACGTGACTGCCCTACGTTTTACCATTGCACTAACCAAGGTCTCCAACCTATTTTTGTCCAAAGCTGTCTTGTGTGTCAACAAGTCAAGATAGAACATAAAAAGCTAGGTAGATTCTTTGCCCATCCTCACCAGACCATCGAAGTTTTAATCTCATCATATTAACTAAATTCAACTACTATGAGACAATGACCATGAAAAAAAGGACTAAAATGAACTAAAACTCAGTCAAATTCCGCTACTGACAATGATGTGAAACCTCAGTATATACAGAACCCTTGTCAAGGGCAAGCAAAATGCAACACAAAGTAGAACATATCCTGGTGAGACATGATGCAGCCTAGGCTTTGAACAAGCCTGCCTCCTGAGAGGAACTGAAACAAAAAATCTAGCATCGGCATGGGTAGATGATATAGGTCAGTTCATAAAAATACTTGGCATAGGGGAACTCAAAGGACACTACAGATGATCTATGTATCAAGACAACAGAAAAGGGAACTCAACATTTTATTCAGAAAAACTGCAGTATGATTGAACAAGATAAGTGATATCCCTCCTATCAAAGAGCCAGATATGTCAATTCCAGCGATAATTCTTGGGCACCCCTTTTTAGCAATTCAGCAAGCAACTAAACTACCTTAGTTGGCAGGGTTTGATGAGTCCAGGAGGTAAGAAGCTTTCTAAAATCTCTCTGACTTCTTCAGGAAGCCATGGATACAAGGCAAGAGGATGTTAATTTTCAACACCACGCTATGTTTTCAATTGATATGGCAGTGTATGTGGATACATCTCTTCAGGAAGCCATGGATACAAGGCAAGACGCAAAAAAATTATAACTTTCAACAACACATTATGTTTTCAATTGATACGGCAGTGTAGTATAAAACAATCGCAGCGTGGATACAGCAATGAGCGGATTCGCATCTCTTACAATCGATACTGTCTTCTGTTCTTGGAGCAGAACCAATTTGCTTCACTTTACATCCATCCCAAGGTATCATTTCTAATACATATGTGGGGCAAGCTAGGACACATTGAGTACACCCTATACATGTATCATAAATCTTTACTGAATGTGACATGGAATATATAAATTTTTTAACATCATAAAATTTCGATCTAGTAAACTTATAACCGAATCATATATTTAGATACAGACAAAATTCTGATGGTTTGTGTGTGTGTGTGTGTGTGTATACAAATATAAAAAAAAAAAAATCTATCAATTTTCTGTGTTCTATACTAAGAATTGAATAAAATTATATATATATATATATATATATATATATCGTAAATATAATTATATTAAATTTTCAAATACTATTTCCTACCAAATTTTTGCCATTATAATTATATTCATAATTTAATATCCTATATTAGAAGGTTTCATTAAATGTTTGAACTTTGATCAGTGGTGGTCATGCATACAATGTTATATTGTCTTTTAAAAAACAACACAAAATAGGTTGGACACTTTGCGCTGTGTTCATCTTGTTTCTGAGATTGTAAATGTGGTTATTTTTTATTTTTTAATTTTTTATGAGTTTGCAAACATGGTCTTTTTAAGATATTTTGTGCCATATATATGTCTGTTGGGAATGTTTGATATGTGTTGGCCAAGTGTCCAAAATAACGAGATTTATTTTGAACTTATGAACAAGTTGGTGAGGTGTTAGACATGTGTCAGTAAAGTTTCACGTATGGCATGTGATCTATATGGACATTGCACCATTTTAGACGTGCTCGTACTTGTTAATCCATCCTAAATCAATTTACAATACCACCAACTTATAAACTACACAATCTTCTCCCAAATACCATTAAAATCTCCTCTTATAAATAATCTCTCCCCTCCAAGAATTCCTTGAATCAATACATCCAGATATTCTCAAAATTGTGCACAAACATTAATTATATTAACTAAATTTTCTCGTAATACAAGTTTTATCAATATTATAGTATCCCCTTTTCTAATAACCATTACAAGTTTATTCAAGATTATTCTGTCCCTTTTTCTAATAACAACTACAACTTCTTTAAATTCTTATCACTTTTTATCCCTACTCACGGAAAATGATTTGACAACTATCTTTAAATGTAGGGTTGGGCACCTTTTACAACTTATTTGGGCCTTCCATCGAATTGTTCTTCCAAACAGCCATGCAAGACTTAGTTTGATCCAACAGGAAGATTAAATGGGTGAAAGAAGAGGAAATATTTATCAAAGGGGAGCAGACTCACTCTAATTATAAATGCTCTTTCAAGCCAACCAATATAGGGATATTGATATTTCCATTTCCAAATTTTCCGCTGAAATCCTTAGAAAAGCTCCCTCCCTCCCTCTGCATGAGTGTGTGTGTTGTATTGTGTTTCAAAAAGTGGGCACAGGTGACAAGTTGAAGTACCATCTGATGAAATAGAAGACAGTGTGCCTAATCAAGGATGACAAGGAACAAGAAGTTTAAGATTGTTTATGAAAGCTCTTTTGGGAAAATGGTTGTGGATAAGTGGAAGAGAGTAATAATTTTTGGAGAGAACAGGTGGAGAGGAAATATATTTCGCCTAATCAAGGAACAAGCTTTGACAGTAGAAGTTTAAGATTGTTTATGACAGCGCTTTTGGGAAAATGGTTGTGTGGATAAGTGGAAGAGAGGAATAATTTTTGGAGAGAACAGGTGGAGAGGAAATATATTTCTAAGGACAGTCCCTCTCATGAACTTTGTAAAAAAGGAGGATTCTCTAATTACGTATTACATCTATCTAGGATGATGAAGTTTAGGGAAAAAGAAAAAGAAGAAGGCGGCATGGAAGCATTTATATTAAAAAATCACAAAAATTGGGTTGTGGGGTGTTATGAGAGCTTTACAGGATTTGGAGTTAGACTATGGAGAACTTCAGTTTTCTTTATGCTTGGTTCAGTAGAAAGGGAGTGTTAACACCTCAGTCTTGCTGCCTCTGGAAAAAGGAATATTCATTTCATTCCTTAATACAATCAAAAGGGAGAAAGCCACTCGGGTTCCCTTGGAAGGACCAAGGTTGAATATTTTGGCTGGACTATTGTTCTGGAAATATCTTGCGCATCGATAATTAAATATAAGAAATAGAAAGTTTTGTCCTAGCTGGTTTTGTACATGCACGGGGATTGGGAGTCAGTCGCTAGGAAACTATGGGATATTATCTATAATAATGAAAATATAAGATAGAAACACAATAAATGTATTGATTTTTTCTCCTTGGTTCTAGATTAAACTCATGAATCCAATACTGCACACAGGAATACAGATATAAAAGCCTTTTTTTCTTTTCTGGATAAGTTTATAATTATGAATTTTCTTAAGTGAAAGCAGTCACCGCCTAAACAATAACATTGCTTATTGGGCACTAGTCCATATTCTTTGGAGTGTATCATCAGTCATTATCACATTAGTAGAAATGTACTGCAAAAATGTGAAGAAAAATGGCATCACAACAAATAATCAAGAAAAGGACTAAGAAAATCAACATCCGAATCTGATCTATGGATTTTTATACAAGATTTTTCTCAAATAAAATTTGCTTAATGTTTCATTAGAGTTTTAGATGCTGAAAATGGAATACAACATAGAAATTGAAGCTTTTAGAATTTCACATAGATCTGACAGAAGATAAAGCATATGGAATTTTCAGAAATTTATTATATTCTAAGCTCAATCCCCTCATTTGGGTCTCCCAAACATAATTGGAAATTATGTTTCTCATAATTCAAAGCTCAATTTCCCAAACATATGAAATGCCATGCCACACGGATTAATGGATTATAATAAATGTGAAGATAGCTTATGCTTGACGCAGTGGCAAGCTTCCATATGCATCTCATCATTAAGAATGACTTGACCCACCTTTTGTGGCCTGCATTTGGTAGCTCACAATTGATTGAGCACATGCCCAAATCATCTTAATCCAACCACCCTGAGTCAGATGTATCAATATCACTTATCACAAAAAAGAAAGAAATAAACCAGATACGCCATTATGACAGCAAGTATAGAACTGCTGCGGTTTAAGGCATTAAAGACCAACGCACAGACTAGCAGTGTTTTTTGATTGAAGAAGTTGGAAGTAAAGAAAAGGAAGAGGATGAAGAGTTTATCCTGTGATTGGATTAAAAATTGAACAGAACGGAAAGGATTACAAGGGAGAAGGAAGTTTTTATTAACACCTCAAATAGTAATCTTGCTATCCTTACAAAAGTTAGGATTTATAAGGAAATACAAGGGAATTAATGACTACCATTTTGTCCCTATTAGTATTACAATTGAAATCTTATTTGCCTCTCTCCATAAACATAGTAAAACCCTCTGTCATTTAATTTCTCTCCACTATTTTCGCAAACACGATGAATGAGTTCCCATTATCTTTCCTTTCTTTTACCTTATTAGTTACCCTACACGAAGAATAGTTAATAACCTATACTTTCATTTCCTTTCTCTCCTAAAAATTATATTTTTTCCTTTAATTACCCTCCTACTTATCCAGACACGCTGTAAGGGTTGTAGTTTTCGGATCCATAATGTTAACAGCCTTCTACACCAAAAGCTTAAGTTGTTAGAGAGGGTGTAACGTTAATATTTAAATCCTTCAGCACGCCTCCTCACATGTGGCCTCCAACACGTGTTTCAATTTTAATTATCAGGGTGACAGTGAGGTTTGAACACAAGACATTGCCAGCTCTGATATCATGTTAACAACCATCTACTCCAAAAGCGTAAGCTGTTAGAGAGGGTGTAACTTCAATATTTAAATCCTTCAACACATATGATATTTGTGGCGCAGAAGAATCAAGGGGTAAGGAGCATTGTTAATGAATTCTAAATTACATGATGCATTGGGACTTCATTTTAGATTCTCCAAACCATCAGAGATGCAATACTAAAGTTGCATATCATTTTTCCCCTAAGCTATGCATGCACATTTTTTAATTTCAGATAAACTATGCAGATCTCAAAAATAGGTCTCAACAACCAACAGCAACCATCATTTCAAACAGATAACTTCTGCAACTGAAGAGATGATTTCCAAATTTTGGAACCGCTCAAGAAAAATTCTCAAAACATGTGCAACAAAGAGATGATTTGAAGTATTTACTCACTTGAACATAATTCATTAATGGGACCGTCTTCCGCAACATGAGGCATATAACAACCTACAAATACAATGCCAGAAAGAAAATGAAAAATAAATAAATAAATGAAGCAACTGATCTCAGGTGAGACATGACTAGGAAAAATGTCGACCATGAAAAATCATGTACAAAGACTTTATAGCACATATACCTTGCTAAAATACCCAGCCAACAATGCACTATGAGGACGGTTAGGTTCCAAGAAGGAGAAAAGTAAATTCATTAGCTGTAATTGCACCATAAACAGATTGAATTAGATTATTGGGATGGTAAATCATGTCATATCACTTTTTAGTCTATAATAACACAGTCCATACCTCCTCTTCCTCCACTAAAGTCTTCAGGATAACATCGATTTCACATGTAAATATCTCACAAGCAACGAAAGGAAACCTAAATCATTAGACAGGTAGCAAAAGCATGAAACATACTTCACCTTAACACAATTACAATATGAGAAACAAACACACAACTCCAATAATGCCTATTTTCCTATCAAATCGTAATGACCTACTTGAAGGTTCGTTTGCTTTCAGCATCCTCAGGAGGCTCTTCAACTATATACCGCAATAACTGCTCCACCTGGGTTCTATCTCGCAAACTGAAAACACAGATGAATATTTTTAAGAATCAGCCCCTGTATATTAAACATGCAAGCTACATATTAAGCAAACACAGTATAGACAAAAGTGTGTGATGGACAAAAGTGTCTGTGCCAAGAAAATTGCATGCAAAACTAAGAAAAGTTGCCCCAAGAAATTGAATTACAAATTAATGAGACGACTGTTTAAAGATTTGCATTCTTGGATTATCTCCTCTTCGTCCAGAAGCTCTTCCAAAGTGAAATTTTCCTTGTCTAATACTGACTCAACCTATAAAAGGAAAAGAGGAAGAAAAGACAATATAAATAATAGGTTAGGAGAAAACAAAAGGAAGAAATAAATAAATAAAAGCTGGATTTATCATGCCCCTAAAGACATTACAAGTTTACTTTAAACAACAACTCATCCCATGTTACATCACCATCATCCTTGCCTTATCCCATATTGACTGGGTCATTCACATGAATTCTCTTTTTCCATTATTTCCTGCTATACACAGTGTCTCCTCTGATATTTAATTTTTTAAGATCATTTTAATTACTTCATCCCATCCTCCCATATAAGTTTTGAATGGCCTCTTTGTTGCTTACCTTCTAGGAAAACTAGTCTTCCTCTTCTAACCAACCGGTGCATCTTTGAATCGACATTGTCTATATAGTATAGACTATATAGTCATACCACCTAAGTCTTCTTTCTTTAATTTTATCATTAATAGGCACTATTCCTAGTTTTTTCCTCACACATTTATTACTAATTTTATCTCTTCTAGTCACTACTATCATCCATCATAGACTCCTCATTTCCACTTCGTGAATGTGTTACTGTGTTAGTCTTTTTTTTTTTTTTCAACGTCCAACACTCTGCTCCATACAATATAGATGGCCTAAAAACCGTCCTATAAGTTTTTCCTTTTACTTTATTTGATATTTGTTTGTCACTTAGGATACAACTAGCTTACATCCATTTTGTCCACCCTATTCCAGTCATACTTGCTATATTTTTTAATTTTTTATAAGTAAGACTGTATTAGAAATCGTTCAAAAAGGGGGAATGCAACCCACAAAAGCTACACAAGGCCAAATAAGCCCCCTAAAGTCCAAAAAAATCAACTCTCTCCCCCATGGAATTGCAGTTTCTCCTAAGAACCCAACAAAAAAAGAGAGAGCTAAGAATAGAGAACTTCAGCACGCCAATAGGAGTTTCCTCTCCCTCGAAGAATCTTCTATTTCGTTCAAGCCACAAGCACCACCAAACACACAGGGCGCTAGCCTCCAAAAACACGGGCTTGGGCACCCACTAAACACCCTCTCCAAGCCTCAATCAAACCTCTCGAAGTCCGAGGCATAACCCACTGAACCCCGAACAAACCTAACAGTGAACCCCGAATAATCCAACGAGAAAGGGCAGTGCAACAGGAGATGATCAATTGTATCCTCGCCACGCTTACACATACGACCAGTAGTTGACCACCACCTACCTTCTCCCTCTCAGGTTATCTAGAGTCAGAATCCTCCCTAGAATAGTCGTCCACGCCAAAAAAAAAAAAAAGCCACCTTAGGAGGGGCCTTGGAACGCAAAATGGCCTTCCACAGGAAAGCAGGCATTGGAGCTTTAAAAAGGCATCTAAAGAGAGATTGAACATCAAAACGCCCATGAGCCAAGGGAACCCAAATCCGGGCATCTAGCCCATCACCTACAACCTCCTGATGATACAACAAGTCCAAGAACCCAATGACATACTCCAACTCTCAGTCCTAAAAATGCCTTGAAAATAAGACATTCCTCCCGCTATCAAGCCAATAACAATCAGCCACCAATTCCAAAGCATGTCTATCCAAGGCATTCCTAAATAGTCTGGGAAAAATGCAAGCCAGAGATTAGTAGCCACACCAGATATCTCCCCAAAAACGAATTCCCCTCCCCATACATACTATATTACCGTCTATCTCCCCATTTTTTTGTAATATTGACCCTAAATAACAAAAATAGTTATTTTGAATAACTCTTTAAGCTTGAATTTGCAATGTTTATATTGTCATCCCATGTTGCATGGACTTCTCAAAAATGCATGTACCCTTTTCAAAAAACGCGTAACATTTGGACATGGAGATGGAGGTAGATATGTGTCCAAACATTTGGCTGGAGATGAACTTAACAAACATACCCAATCAATAATTCAAATTGATTATATAATCAATCATAAAACTCTATTATATGATCCTTTTGCTGCATTATTGCTTCAAATCAAGTATGGTTCCTGTATTGAATACCATATAAAAACTTTACCTTACTCTAAAAAATAAAAGGAGAATATTAAATAACGAATATTTCACCATGCCCCTGTGTCCTTAGGTTTGGGAATTCATTAAATCCAATATTTAGACATGTTCCCGCTCCTAACGCATGCACCCTAGTCCATGTACAATAACTCACCCTTACCAAATACATATGGCACTAAAAAATATATACAATGGATAGATAACTGGGGTAAGGAAAATGAATAATTGCCAAACAGCTGCCTCCAAATTCAAACCCATGAAGCACATGGGAAAGGCACACTAGGCAGAATCATATATAATGAAAAGAAAATCTCACTCGACACCAAGGTAAAAATTACAAAAAGCACCATTGAAAATTTGCTCAAGTAATCGGCATCCATCCCAAAAAATGGAAAATCATTATAACGATAGTTATCAAGCTCAAATGAAGCCCATAAATCAAATTAATAGAAATCTCATAGCGCTGTTTGGTGACTGAAGAAGTGTAGGAAACAATAAGAAAGTACGAAGTTTGACGAAATTTTCATTGTTTGAAACCATAGGAAACTAAAAATTTCCACTCAACTGATCCTAATACAAAAATTTGACTTGGTTGAGTTGAGTACTTCAATTAGATTCTCCAGGAAAAATAAATAAATAAATAAATAGCTTTTACATGAGATTTGAAATTTGATGTTCCCTTCTTTTCCTCAGTTTTTTTGCCAACCAAAGAAAGGGTGAATAAAGTTCAACTGAGAAAACCCAGATCCTAGTTAAACACATTCATTGTAATTAAACTCATTTATTAGAACAAATTAACACCCTAAAGCAAATTTTAATCAAACTATATCACAATGCTGAAATATAAAGGGGAAGAACTGAAATTGTAATTATCCCAAATGCAAATCACTACCATACCTGCAGTAAATGTACCAATATTACACATTTATTAAAAGGATTTATCTATTAACGAATTACTACAAATATCATGCATAGTGTCTGATATGTATTATTATTGCACTAATCAGCAACCAAATTACCACACATGAGCTCGATCCACAAATGACTAAAAAAATAGCAAAAATAAACATATCGCTGAAACAATAATTACAAATTAAATAAACATAATTCCCATTGATAGATTAAAATTTAAATGTAGAAAAACTAAAAACTCCATACATGTTTTTCATTCGAACGAATTGCACAAACAGAGACACCTCGTGCAAGAAACAGAAAATTAACACGCAAAGACTCTTCTGAAGAGAATCACACTTACAGGTGAAGACGCAGATAGAGCTGTGAGTTTCCAAAACATACTGAATATATATATATAAATTAATATATGTGTGTGGGTATATATGTGTATATATGAAGAGGCGAGCTTGAAGCAAGTAACTCTTTAGATCTGTAAACCCTAAGTTGATTGAGAAGATAGATAGAGAAAAAGGAGCTGGGGAATCAAGATTTGCTTAGCAGCTGAGAGGCGTTTGAAATTTTTGGAGCGAAAGAGAAGAAATACCCTAATTTTCAGAGACAGAGAGAGGGGCTTTCCTAAAAATCGCGGCTGCGAAGCGAAGCCTTATGTATGATATGTTAATAATGTCCAGTGCTGATGGGGAAATGGGGGTGAAAAAAAATAAAAAATAAAAAAGTTCAATACGAGGTCCGAATATCACAAAACCAAAAACCAAATGCACCATTTTTTAAAATAAAAATCAAAAAAATAAATATTCAAGCCAACCCAAAGACCTCCCATTATTTTCTCAACAAGATTCAAAGACTCTATTCCCCTTTTGAATAAATGATAGAGTCACGATACCATACTATCAAATAGACTTAATTAAAATTGGTTTAAAATAATAATAATAATAAATAGACCTAACTAATACAGCTAAATATTATTATTTTTTATTTTTTATTTTTATTTGTTCCAAAATAAGTGTCTAATTTGAAAAGTTAATGTATTATTTTTTTTAATATTACTAATTTAAATTCCTTGCATTAAACTTATAAAAAAGTACAGTATCACGTCACTTTGGATCCACTGTGGATAAAATTGATAATTCATTCGCAACACTCTTTCAACATACTTTCAACATATTAGAATACTAAAATATTATCGAATCGAGAATTTAACACTTTTACATCATTGTTATTTAGCCAATTTAAAATTATTAAATTAATGATTTAAAGTTACAACGTTGTCAATTTAAGCATAATCAATTAAAATATTCAAGAGAACCACTTGAACTTAAAATTGTATAAGAAATGAGATGATCGTAGTGTACTATATTTTGCCTTTCGAACACTCAAAATTCCTTAAAAAACGACAGCTTTTACAATCTAAGATAGTGTCCATTGATACCCTTTGTGTATTTTTTTTTTCCTTTTGTTAGAAATATGAAAGGAGAGAAACTATGTATTGTATTGATATATAAGATATGAGATATATAGGATTTATATAGATAATGAGATGTGTGGAGAACAAGAAACCAAAACCCTATATTGTAAACCTATACATGATTAGAATATATTACTCTATATAGTAAACCTATACCTAGTTAGAATATATCACACAATATAGTAATAATATATTCTACGGTCAATTATCATAATTATAACAAGTTACATTAATATATTAAAAAATACAGCTCATGCCGACACTCCTACTCAAATTGGAGCATAGATATTTATCATGCCCAACTTACTAATTGCACCATGGAACGCCCTTCCTGAAACTGTCTTCGTGAGTACGTAAGTTAACTGATCTTCAAACCGAACAGACGAAAATTGTAAAACTTTTCGACCAAGATTCTCTTTAATAAAATGACAATCAACTTCAACATCTTTTGTACGATCATGTTGAACCGGATTATGTGCAATTTCAATGGCTACCTTATTATCACAATGTAGACTCATCGGTTTCTCATATCAATCCTCAAATCTTGTAATACATGTTTGACCTATAGCAATTTGCATACACCATGAGCCATACCTCGGAATTCAGCTTCCGCACTTGATCTAGAAACCACCTTATGCTTCTTGCTTCTCCAAGTGACAAGGTTACCTTCCACAAAAGTAAAGTACCTGTATACCCCCGAATTTCCAAATGCGGGTTGGCCAGGCCCACGCCCGAACACCCAGGGATATAAAAAACAAACTGACAATAAACGAACACAGAATACAAAAAGGATAAATAAGAATAAATAAAATGCGAAAATAAAAACTAAAGTGATAATCCAATATTTAAATTCTCAAAATAAATTTTCATTAATTAGTAAATTCTTTTGATACAACTAATCCTCTAAAAATACAACTTGGGAATCCAAAATATGTAAACACCTAGAAAATCCCAAACTGATATAAAGAACATTAACAACTGTCTACATTTGAATACTGAAATATAAAATAAAATCCTAAGTAGATAATCCGGAAGAATGATGATGACTGGTCTTTGCTCTACACGAACCAAAAACTACACCTAGTACTGACATAAACCTGAAAAATAAATAGTGGGTCCGAACCACAAACAAGTTCTTTTTTACTACATCTAAAAAAGACCTAAGGAACAAATACATCATAGTCAACTCATGCAATAACTACATAGTCTGCATATATATATTAATACACACTAAGGACTCTCACTGGACTATAGGGCTGGCTCACCCTGATACTAGGCATCATATAAAACACATAGGTAGTCATGAACACCGTCATCTACCAAGGTACGCCACATCCTCTATATCCAGCTATGCATTCAGGGCGATATAGCCTTTCTAACCATCGATCATAAAAACTCAAGCTCATATAACGGTATATACATATATATATATTCATATTCTATCTAAATACAAAAAAGTAAATTATCCACCATAATCTTTCAACGGCATGTCATCCAGCTAGTCCATGGCCTGACACGAAGAAATGAGACTAAACTTATTAGCAAGCCCATCCATAATATGCCCCCATATCTAGACAATGGTGCATTAATCCGAAACCATATTCTGACAATTGTTTCCACACAATCTAATAAATGATGCAAACAAATTTATACATCAAATGACCCATAAATACACATGATAATGATCATACAGATATCCATTGCGTTTAAATAAGCAATATAAACAGCAATTTTAAGTAGTATGTAATTAACTTATATCTCAATTAAATTGCATAACCTCTCATATTACATATTAATCCGGTATGGTAAATACCTTAATTCTCAATTGTATTTACATGATGGTTATAACCATTTACAATACAAGTAACAATATAAATCTCCACAAAGATGATTAAAATCAACTAATTATCCCTTTTCAATTGATACAACAATTAACACATTTAAGTTCATCCATTAAACAACTTATAATTCGTTTAATAATCCATATTGTCCAAATCATTTGCATACAAGTATAATTTATGCATTCTGGGAAGTTATTTAATCCCATAGAGTCTATTTAATCCATTAAAAGTGATTACAATAGCATCTGGTAACCCACAACCTCAAAATCCGACATCCAGTCCAACTAAGCAGGCTCGGTTCCCAATTGAGTCGACTCCTTCTCAAATGAGTCAACTCCTTCAGCAACTGAGTCGGCTCGTTCCTGCTACGGGTCATTTTCTTCGTTTTTCAACCTTTGCAACTCCTCCAAACTGCATTGTTATGGGTCCTAAGCTTCAGTCTAAGTCCGATACATCTTTAATAATTTATTTAAGATGATTATACACGGTTAGATAAAGTTTAAATACCAAATCATGTATCAAAACTCAAGAACTTACAATTCAAGAACATTAACATATTTTCACATATAACGTCTATTTTAATCCAAATTAATCATGCATAATTGTTTAATCATCCTAAAGTTGTCCTAAACATGCATTGAACCCTAGATAAAAGAAGATGAATAGAACATAAGATTTGTCTTTAAGGATTTTGGATTAAAACCGAACTCCTTTCTTCTCCGGCCAATTGTTTAACGTCGGTAGCCTTTGGGTTGTCGTCGTCCTCCTCTACTGGTCTGGTTCTAACCCACACACAATCTCCTTCCTTTTTCCTCCTTGATTCGGTTTTGATCTTGACTTTGGTTTTCACAAACTCTCTCTGCTTGCTCTTTCTGTTTTTCTTCTCTCTGCTTGCTCTCTCTTTCTGCCTCTAAAACTCACGTAACCAACCTCCTCCAGACCTTATCATCCTATATATATATATATAACACTAACCCTAATCCTAGCTAGTTATATAATAAGTCTGCCATATAGAAATAGAAAAGAAAAATAAAATAACTATTATAATAATGATATTAATATTACAATCTAACTAGATACATACATACATACATACATATATATATATATATATATACACACACACAGAGTAATATATATATATACACAAAAATAATCATTTCTTTATTATTAATAACCATAATAATAATATTTTTATACCATATATATATATACATATCTATATATACATACAACAATATATCCGTATATATATATCTATTACTATTATTATGGTATATATTATTATTAATAATAGATGGAGGATTAAGTTATTATTATTAGTAGTAATAAAGGAAGGATTAATTTTTTTTTGCATATATATATATAATCAATGCCATGAGTCATAATCCTACCTATTTAGGCTCCTATCCAAGTAGTCTATGTGACCTATTTGGTTGGTCCATTACTACTATCCAAATCCATTATTTGTAAAATAAAATAAAAACAGACAATTAAATATTTAACTAACACATAATTACAAACAAGTACACAATCAAGTCACATAGATCATATCACACAAATACACACAAACAAAACCACAATGCACATCAAACAATTAAATTATTTATGCACATAACTTATAAACAGATAGCCATATAAGCACATAGCCACATAATTAAAATAAAATGCAATAAAATAAATAATGAAATCCTATTTATATCCTTTTGAAAATTAGGGGTATTACATAACCTGGTGTGGACCTCCTATCAATCTGACTCCCTGCCCAATCAGAATCTGTATATCCTTCAATTCCATGGACCCCATTCTTAGAGAATAACAATTCTCTTCCTGGTGCACTCTTCAAATACTTCAAGATCCGATATACTGCATTCATATGTTCTTCACTCAATGCATGCATGAACTGGCTCACCACACGTATTGTATAGGCTATGTTCGGTCTTGTAATACCCCGATATTTTAAAGGATTTATTAATTGGGATTAATTACTTTTATTTTATTTTTAAATGATTTATTTTATTTAATTGAGTGCTTAGATTCATCGTCTTATTTTAATTAAATTATATTTCGTGATTATATTTGTTGAATTGATATGATAATTGTTGTATGTGTGTTTGATTATTGATTGAATTATTGGTGTGTTGATTTTATTGGTATGATTTGATTTGGTTCCAATTTCTTGTTTTGTTTACATGCTTCATGTAATTAGTTATTTTAATTTAAACGTTTATTTAATTATTTAATTTATTTATATTAATTGGATTTGGGCTTAAGGAAAGTTGGACCAAAGGATGTGGTCATGGGCTTGAATGAAAACTTTTTGGGTTAGTTAATAAAGGCCCTGGTTAGGTGATTATTTAAATGATCATTTTTGTATAATTATAAATATATATATATATATATATATGATTTAATTAATTAATAGTTAATTATGGAA